AGTCCAGCTTGGCAGTGCAAGCACTGAAACTACCCCCAGCTCTGTAATGTCATTCAAGTCAGATCCATGTTTGACATTACTTCAGCATGACACAGGAGAAGCAAATCTGGTTTAAATAGAGGCACATTACTTCAGAATACATTCCAGAAGGCAGACTTTAGTTGAGATAGAAGGATTTTATTTTCTTTCAACATGAGTTCGCATGGGAAGGGGATGGGAGTGAGACAGGATATTTTCATGCCTTTTTCACTCTGTTGGATAATACCACAAAGTTTGTTTTGCTTAGATTCCGAGTTTGATTCCTCAATTTGCAGATGTCCTTCAGATAAAGGAACTGTTTAAAATGCAGGAATTGAGCCCAGCTATTAAACTTGCCCAGCTCCACTCATCATTTTACTTTCCTTAACATAGACAGAGGCAGAATCAACAGAATGGAGTCAGAGCTCATGCAAAAGGAATAAAGGCATACCTTTTTTAGTTGAAACCTTTCTTCAGTGAAGCATTTACTGTCTTAGTACTAGCTATTCATAACAAATTCTGTCTCAGGAAAACTGCTTTTGAACTCTTTTGGCTTTTAAGGACTATTTTTCATTTTCCTTTTGCTCTGTGGCAATGAATGTATTGAAACCTTTGCACACAGGTTCCTCCTGTTCACAGTACTATCTCCAGTTACTGGGTAAGGCACTGAATGGCCTTCTGTCCCCCAAGACAGAATTAAAGACTACAATACAGAGTTGAGCAGTGCTGTTTGGCATTGCGTTACCTGTACCATTTATGCTTTCATTGAGCAAAATATTCATGTGGTTTTCCCCCTAAATCCCTGTGAATGCAGCATCCACGATGCTACACATAAGGGCAGAGAAAACTCATCTCAGATGGTTCAGTGAAGACAGCTTTATTTCTCCTGAGCCATACTGAAGGGCTGAAAAATTTCCAGTGACTTCAGCAGAGCAGATCAAGGTCTCAGGTTTGTGCCATGTTAAGGAAACGGTCAGTGAAGTATTTTCAGACTAAGGACAGGAGATATTAGCTGGACATTGAATGTGCTGAAGGGTGAAAGGGGAATAGTGACACAGAGAATGGCTTTCCAGCAATAGAAACCACTAAAGCCTGTAGATTTTGTGTGGTTTTCTACAGGAAATAACAGAAAATGCAAAGAAGGCATGATCACCTCACCTCCAGATTCTTGGTTACCTGGCACATGTGGCTCTGTGTGGGTTTAGTAAACCTACACTTGGTTGTCTCACTTAGCCGCAGACCTGCCCAGTCCATTTGGGATATATGCATAAAGGACTCCGTGAAATCCTTGCATTGCTTCATTGATCTTTTCTCCATTTTTGTTTAATCCCTTTTGTTAATGTACATGATGACAATTCTCTGATACGAAAAACCTTCCCTACCTGCCATTAGTGATTGCAGGGGTATTTGGACATCTGATCAGCCTTTAGCATAGGGCTAAGGGAACAGAGTGGCCTTTGGGGCATTTCTCATCTTTCTAAACTCACTGCTTTGCACGTGTACCTTGGTCAGCCCACTTTTCAGCTGCAGGTAAGGGATTTTATCCCGTATATGTAGAAGTGTGTTTGTCTTTTGTGTAGAGTGATACGAAATGCAAATAGCACTTGAAAAAGCTGTGTGGGGTGCATTGTTAGAGCTAATTTTAGTCCTTGCTAAAGTGAATCAAAACGGAAGTGGAGAATAAAGCAGTCCTTTTCTGCTCATTAGTATTGTGCAACTCCTGACATTTGGTACAAGGATCATATGTAGAAAACCGTATGTTCTCTCCCTCATGTGCATAAGAAGCATTGAGCATAACAGAACTTCTTCGTATGGATTAAACCCACTATATGGATATGGTAGAAAAACTGTATGAAACTACAGTGTAACAACAGGCGAACAAAATGTTTGAGTTCCAATCAAATAAATAAGCTCAGCTGTAGCATAACCCACTGAAAGGCCACAGAGGCAGCTCTTGTGCAGACACACAGCCATCTGTCCCCTGAGTGTGCTCGTGAAGTTGTTAATCACCTGCAGCTGAGGGTCCTCCCCAGCTTCAGCTCACTCTTGCCTGGCTGCACTTCCCTTCCAGCAGCTGCAAAGAGCTTTTCTCCTGGTCAGCATGTGGGGTACTTGTGTTCTTGGCCTACACAAGCTCCGCTCTCTCCGGGCTGCAAGATGGGATTTGTTTCTTTGCAAGGCAGGAGGCAGGTAGGAGCTTGTGGCTGAGCCAACCTTTGTGTATGCAGCTGGGTTTGGGGAGAAGGCAGGGAAATAGTGCTGTATCTTTGATTTAGATGTGAAAAAATTTATGTTGACACCACGTATATTTATGCTTTATGAGGTTCAGTTGAATGGGCTATGGGTGTGCTGCGGGTTATACCTATGTTAACAGGCTTGTAATGGTTTGATCTCTTAAAATAGTTACATTTCTTTAGAGCAACTATAATAAACTGCTTTCATCTGAGCTGTAGGTGGTGTCCTAAGCCCCAGTCAGTGTGCCCTAGTGAGCAACTTGTGTGAAACACTTGCTTTTGCTTGGAATACCCTCAGAAGGGTGGCTCTTTAACATGGACTGTGTGGGCTGTTTGTTTGTTGAGGGTTGTTTTCTCCAAATTGTTATTAATGGAAAACTGAGAGAAAGAGATGTGTTCGCAGTGGGATTTCCATCTATCTATTGCTTTTATACTCTACTTTGCAAAAGAACCAGGCAGTGACGACTGTAGTCTAGGAGCTAAGCTGGGGGTGATGGTGGATGGGTATCTAGAGGAAGATTTTCAATTGTGTTAATGGCACTCCTGGCAAAACTTTAGATTTCCCAGAAACATTTATGATGTTTGTAAATGAACAGTGAGTAAATACGTGCAAGCCCTTGTCAATGTTTTCTTCCTCTGCATGTGTTGCTAATGAAATGGACCGTTACTGGTTTCTGTGTGTGTTCGTTTTGGATATGAAATCATTTCACTAGTCTGAAAATTGATAATAGCTTTCATGAAGCTGTTTGACTGAACAGAATGTGCTTGACGTGGGGAGCCAAGTCAGAACAGCTTTGTACAGAACTATTGCTAATGTGGAGTTGTACTCAAAGCTTGTTTTGAGACACCTATCAATACATTATAAAAGGGAATTGGTAGGCACATGATTAGGTAACATCTGAGTTTGAAACTTCAGTATTTAACCTATAAAATGCTTTTTTCTAATATTAAATTGAAGTTTTTTTTATATAGAGATGTTTTATCACAACAAAAATATTCCCCATTAGCACTTTAACCTCTCCCCTCCTCTTCTGCTACAGAAACCACAAATCTAAGCTACTCCTGTTCTAAACCATGAAAATGGGCAGAGGTCAGACTTAAAATGTGCTCCCAGTTCCTTGTGCTACTTCCAGATCTGTGGTGCTGTTGTTTTCTATTCTTTCCTTTTCTTTTCTGTTACAGAGTTTCCTTTCTGTCATTTGGCTTAACATAAGTATCTACCACCCTTTCGTTCCCTGGGGGCAAAGCCAAATGGCAAACTGATACATAACTATAAATATACCTCACAGTGTTCCATTAAGATTATATTTCATTAAACTAAAATCTGAAATCCCAAAGCTATCACACCTAATGAGGTTTGAAATGATGACACGATAATAGCTGTGCATGTACTTATTTAGGTTGTCATCTCACATCATCAGGTATAAGACATGCATTTAACTTTGACCACAGTAGTTCAGTTTCTTGGTGATCAACTGTGTATGGTAAAGTCTAGTGATATTTGGGGGAAAAAAAAATTTGTAACAACCATTTTAAGAGTAATTGCCCCGTGTCTGGCTGTTGATTCCTAGCCTTGTTTTCCTAGCGCCTGGATTGAAGAGAAACATAATGGAAACACCAAAGAAAAAATAATACTGTTTTATATAAGTAAAAACTAGTGCCATCATTCACATCCTTTATATTCCTTCTTTATATACCACTTCTGGTAAGAACCAGTTTTGAGCAGCACCTCTGAACAGGAATCTGTCAGAGAAGCCCCCTGCTGCCCCTCACGTGCTCAGGGACTTCACTGCTCTCCCTCTCAAACTGGACAGTACCCTTCTTATACCTTGTATTTATCTTACTGTTGAACATCATTAAACCAAAACTATAGAAAGCTTAGAGCATGGGTAGGTGGTGACTAGTTGAGCAAAGCCCTGGGGGAGGCCAGGGGAGTTTGGGTGGGACACTGCTGTAGATACTAGTGGTACTTTCAAGCGATGCGGTGTCAGGAGCTATGGGGTCCTCAACACTTAGTGGGGCCATTTTAGATGTCAGTCCTCAAGTTCTGCTTAAAACTTAATTAAGTGACGTGTGTTCTACCTTCCTTTTGCTGTGTTATGTTGTAATCGCCTTTTTGTGGTTTGGAGGGTTAAAGGCTTGGTTGTGTTTCTTTCTCTCTACGGTAGAATTGAGCTTCAGAGTGCCTACCAAAGCACAGAAGACTGCATTTAGATGCAGGCAGCTGTGGTGTGAATCGTAAATAGTTTTGTTATCTTGTTATCAGGGCACTTAATGTTTTGGCTTCTGGCCTAAAAACCTTAATACTTGTTCACAGTTTGGTTTGGATGCCAGCATGTTAATGTACAGCCATCCAGGAGGTATTTGTTTTAGGGAACCTGCCTGTGGTGCCGTGTTTGTATGTGCAGAGGAGGGGTATGTGGGACTAAGTAGGGATCATCTGGATCACTGATCTTAGGCCCTAAAACTGCAGACAGCCAAGCAGTTGATGTCAGTGACACGGGTAGAAGGGCAAGTTAATGCTATGCTTTTTCCTTGCTTTTATGTAATTGCTCACCAGAATAGTTTCATCTTGGTCTTATGACCTCTTCTAACATTGGAAACAGGGTGAACTCACAAGATTCCCACCTCTGGGCAGGCATTGCTTACAGAAGGATAAAAGAGCATTGTAATGGATGGTGGAACTAGCTGAAAGGGGCAGTGCTGCTGGGTGATCATTTTAAGGACTGAATTTATTCTGTTTGGCAGGGACAAGAAACAGTCAAAATGGACAATGCGAAACAATGAAGGTCAGAGGAAAGCATTCTGCTGCATCAGCATCTTTTTGATGCTTTAATGAGCATTTTTTGATTATTCATCCAATTATATAATATCTTCAACTGATTTGACTTGCAAATCTAGTGCCTTTTCCTGAGTCAAATGAGCCAGAGTACTTTGCAGTTCTTCACTTCCACAATATTTCATGACTCTTACTAAAGTCATTATAATAGTGGCCTTTACTGTTACAATAAATCCCAGGCATCAGTTATATCCTTAGAAATGTAAGACATTATTTGTGAATATGGAGGTGATAATATAGACATATTTTTCCCCCAAAAAAATAGACTTTGTCTGCAGGTATGGGGAGTGACTTTGAGCGATTGTATTAATGAGGTACTTGAATTTGTGCTGGATCAAGATCTGGTGTTGCCCGTTACTTAAAAGGGAGATTCAAGGTGTACAAGAGGCTTACATTTCTTCAGGACCCCTGGCATTGCTGGTAGTCAAGTCCAGCATTTCCCAAAGGGGAGCTTGGTTCTCAACTCACCTTAATTTCCACTACTGCCCCCCTCCTACTCCAGGCTTGAGGAGTTAACTTTCCTTGCCAGTGTAAAACGCTGCTCTGCAGGAACTGGGATCAGCCCTGGGTTTGAAGAGCCGCCTCAGCAGCTACAGACCAACTGGCACTTGATCTCAGGAATATGCTTGTCTTAAGGGAGGATAAAATGTGCTGCTTCTTATCTGGTGTCGATAGTGCTCTGTTTTAGCCGCATCTCACAACGAAGTTTAGCCATCTCCAGGCTCTTTCTCACCAGTTAGTTCTGAGGTGTTGACCTAACTGGTATTTTTGTCTGTCTTTCTTAAAATCCCAGCCACCTTGGCTAACGTTCTGTAAGGTTCTTTTCCGGGTTAGAAAAGTGTTAGCAAGCCTGATAACCAGTTGTGTTAATTGTGGGCAGTCTCCTTTGTACACAGCCAGTAAGAGGATTGTACCAAAGCTCTTCACCTGCAGCTCCAACAAGTCAGTGATAAAGAGCCTGTATCCTTGAAATCAGTCTTTCTGCTCCCTGAAATTGCAGTTTCCATGTTCTATGCTGAGATGCAGGAGGCTGAGCCCCTTCAGCATCAATCACACTGGTGATTCAAGTCATGGACTTGAAAGCTAGTGATCTACATAATCCTTCTTCCTGAAATCATTACTGCTATGTTAGCTTGCTTTGATGGAAGTTCAATATTTCTGCTTTCCCTCAGAAATTATCATCAGATGGAAGGAATAAATCGCAAGACAAACTTTTGCATCAAAGCTGCTGGAGCCAGCTTGTTCAGAGAATATCTGCTTCTGTGGCATGGCAGAAAGGTTTGATCCAAATGGGGTGGCAGTTTGGAAACACAATTACAGGATCATTAGCTCAGATTTTCAGCTGTTTCACTGCTTTATCTTACACCAGGCATCCCCCTTTTCCTCCTCCATCACAGGGACACTGGATTAATCTAGCCTTTATTTCTCCGCGTATGCAGTTCTTTTCAGGTGAAGGCATTTTAGGTATTAGCTCCTAGACTGCAGTCTGCTCTGAACAGGGGCTGCTGTATTTCTTACCCAATTGGGAATTGTCTATGCAGTACAAGTTACCTTTCTAAATGAAAGAGTTCTGCCAGTTTGACTTCTTCCTTGGGCTTTAACAGATGTCTTGGGCCTTGTGCAGAATCTTGTCATTGTTTGTAACAGCAGTCTTAGGCTCTCTGAAGACCTTCTTGTGACCTTGCAGAACAGAATAGATCCTGCAGGTCCTTTGTGTGGATTGCTTGCTTTCCCTGGGCTCCGAGGCTGCAGCCAACAGGTTTCAAGATTGCACCCTCTGACTTTTTTCCAAGTACACGTGGGACAAATGCAAACTTCCAGGTGTTGCAGTATGGGAGGAGGTATAAAAAAACCTGTCGGGTTCCTGATATCTCCAAACTAAAGGAGTTTAATATTAGAGAATGAGGATTAAGAATGTTTTCCTTGATTTAGCTGTATCAGTTGTTGTTCTGTGGTATAAATTGTATTGCTGCATTTCAGTGTGTTTAGTGTCAGTGTGTTTGCATGCTGCTGATCTTTCCCATCATGGTAAGAGCAACTACAGTATGAAATCCTGAAATGTCCTTGTCATCTTTAGCTAACATAGTGCACTTTGCAATGTACAGAACGTCTTGGTTACGAGCTGAAAATCAATTATTTGGGGGAGTTAATATTAACCTGAGGATTGTGTTCAAGGTAAAAGTGTGTGTGTAAAATAGCGGCTTTAGAGATAAAGCAGTTGGTAGATGGCTTCAAGCTATGAACTTTATATTGATACATGAGTGTGTTTGTAGATTCTGTTGAGTGTGTCGTATTTGGAGATCTGTATTCCCAGAAAAGTTGCACTCTGGTTTATGTAGAATCAAATGATACCCACTTTTATGGTGGAAAGCTACCAGCAATGGGAGCGACCCCTTTCCTCCAGCTGATATTAAAAATGTTCTTTGATATGATGGGGATTACGCAAATACTGTGATTTTTCTAAAAGCTTGAAAGTAGGTGAGATGTTCTGCTGTGGCTGAGAAAATGCATTATTTAACATAAGAAACTGTGCCTGGCATCATTAAGAGGGTAGGTTGGCTGGAATGCATTTGCATTCTTTATCATGACAGTTTGTGCTCCTAATGAGGTGCTGTTGGGAGTGAAAGCCATTCTGAAGACTTGCTTCATCAGCCATTTTGCATGGTAATGAATCCCCTTAAAGCTTGGGGCCATAGGATTTGCCTCTTTCTCCCTCTCACTGAATGAGACCCCTCACTCTGGCAGAAGCTGCAATTACAGAGCTTGGCTTGAAGGGACTGCTACACTGTGCACTTACCTTGCGGGTGTGGAGTGGGAAGCAAGCCACTCTCCCTCCTCCACTCTGGGGAGGAAAATGCAGCCATTCTTTCATTCTGAAGTTCATAGTTGTTCAGAAGGCTTTTAAGCACTGGACTTCAAAGCAAATGCAGGAGAAAATACTTTAAGTAATATAAATTACATATATATATATATATAAATTATATATATATACGTATCAATATATACATCATGTGATATCATTCATGACATCTTTTCTCCCAAATGGTACTTTTCCTAACTTATACTCTCATCTGCCACATCCAGCATGTGTCAGCTCATACCCAAATAAGCTTTCATTCCCTTTCCATGTAATTCCTTCTGTTCTCAGCTGTTTCCCTTGGGAGGTTTGCACAATATAATGTGGAAGAACCTGGTCCTAAAAGAAAATCATTTTCCCTACACCTCCAGTCAGAACACCATGTGAAGAACAGCCAGATATTTAATCATTTTTCAAGTTGTCTGATAGGCTGTCAGGTTTAAATCTCGAATCATAATGGGGTTTGGGGTTTGGTTTGGGTTTTTTTTGTTTGTTAGTTTGTTTTCTCTCCCCCCTGCCCCACGCACACTAACAGATCTTGCAAGGCAAGGGGTATGTGACAGCTCTGCACAGCGCTAACACTATCAAGAGCAGCTCTCCTGAACATGAAGTGAAAAGATCCTTGGCACTGGATTACAGCAACACCATCACGGTGGTTTGTCTGTGTTTCTCATCTCTTTTCATACTCCCTCTGAATGCACCAGATGTGATTAGTGAACAGCAGAATGAGCCCAAAGCAGCACCTTGCCTGACAACACTGCACTGTGCTCAGCACCAGCCTGAGCCTGCAGGCTGTTATCTTTCCCTGCTGAGAAATGACCATGAACCACAGTGAGTATGAGGTCACTCAGCACCCTGCCAGAGGCAGGCCACCATTACCAGTGTCCCACCACTTGCCACCAAACGCCAGGAAATGAATGATGCTGCTTGCCTTTATTTTAGGTGTATTTTGTTGTACAACACAGACAGGAAAGTTTTCAGTCGTCTTTGTTCTGAGTGGGACAACTACTTGTTGAGCTCACTTTGTGATGTTATTTGCAGGCAGGTTCACTTGCTTCTGTTTCCACATAAAAGATATGAGTGAACTGCGTGGCATAATTCAGGCCTTGAAGTATGGATGTCCAGACTAAAGAGGCCTTCAGGGTTATTGCAGCAGAGCTGTAGCATTCAGAGCATGCTGTGCTATGTCAGCAGCTGAGATTTATTGCCAGCTGGTATCATTTGATTTAGCTGCATTTATTTCACCAGGACTCTATAGATGTCTGCAGACCAATACCTGGCTTTAGATGTTCAACCAAAAAAAAAATCTGTCTTCTGATCAAGATATGCTGCTGAAACATCTTTCTTGCCTCCCATTTCCAGTTTCAAGGTTTTATTTGTTCCCCTTACAAGTTCTCATCATAAATTCTCGCTCTACCCTCCTGCCTTCCCATGGGGAGCAGGAGCTTTATTTATTTATTTTTAAAGGCAGCAATCCCATTGCCTATGTAGCAATGAATTGATTAAAGAATGTTCTTCAAAGAATTGCTGTTTAAACAGGAAGCAGATCAAGGAACATGGGAGTGTTCTTCATAAAAACCAGTCAGCTGAAGTTAATGTGTGAATGGGGGAGGATCAATCAGCCATGGAGAGTAAATGATACAGGAGGGCATCACACCAGAAACTCAAAACCACTTCCAACTCAGATGGCCTCAAATTGTATCAGGCATTGGCAGAGGTAGAAGTTGAACCAAATATTTCTATATATAATCTGTGCTTCAGTGGAGAAAGGTTTGCAGCCAAAAATACAGTTTTGAGGTAGGGAGGGAGGCTCCAGAAAACTCCCCACTCCCCCAAACCTTCAGCTTTTCAGTAGAAACATTGTTGATGCAAAATGAGGATCTTCTGAGCTGGAAACTTGGAACTTCTGAGTGCTGGTTGGTCAGTTTCTCCATCTGGAAATACTTTCTAATGTTCTTTAAACCGTGGAGACAAACAATTCAGTTTTCTATGGAGTGGAGGGAATTGTGATTAACGCTAGCAGAGACCCCAAAAGTATCTGGCTTTGCTTTCCATGAAGTTGCTCTAAACTGAAATGGTGGTTTGGGGGGTTGGTTTAGGTTTTTTTGGCTGGCTTTGGGTTTCTTTGGTTTGATTGGTTTTGTCCCTTTGTGGTGGTAAAAATTACTTGGATTTGCTTTGTGAATTGCTTTTGAATTCTGCTGTTCACATTTTGTCCACACAGTACTAGATTTGAATGTGGATGTGTCCTTTGATAACAACAGTAAGGGAAATCTTTATTCCTGACTGCAAGTCCCTTCATTCAGAAGTGCTTTTTAATTGTGAGTGGCTTCC